AAAAAAAAAAAAAAAAAAAAAAAAAAAAAAAAAAAAAAAAAAGGGAGGAGGTGGGAAAGGAACCTGGGGGCCGGAGGGGCCGGAAGCCGGGGTTGGGGGAGGTCGTCATCGTAACGGGATCGTCGTACCGGGATCATCGTACCAGGATCATCGTACCGGGACCATCGTACCGGGATCGTCGAATTTTTTTTTTTCTGTTTCAGGTGCAGCTGCCGTTCCCGCAACCGAAGGTAAGATACCGTTTTATTTCTCCTCATTTCTAAGTAAGGGTTATAATCGTTATTCAGGTTTAGTGGGCACTACTTCCGTCTTACGAGCAGAGCTGCTATTTAGCAGAATCAAAAATGGCATGGAGCAGAGGAAGCTGGAGCTGCGTCAGCGTTGGTAAGTACTTCATCCCCCCCCCCCCNACGTTAAAAAAAGCGCGCCGAAAGCTCTACCTCCAGGAGCAGTACCGTATCATTTACCTGATCGGACTCTTCTAAGGTGGTGTGGAAACGAGCTTTTCAAAAGTTGTTTCCCCATTCCTTTTACGATTTGTGCTTTATACTGCCGTGCTTAGGAGAAACGCCGTATGAACATTTGAGAGGTGCCAAATTTCCTCCGATAAAATGTTTAGTTTTTTCCTTGACATTTTCAGGAACTAGGGGAAATTGCGATCAAAATTATCTGAAAATTTGGGAGAAAAATATTTAAACATTTTCCCGAAAATTTGTGATATAGCGGAGGAAATTTGGCAACGCCTGAAGGTTTATACGGCGTTCTTCCTTAGCACGGCAATATAGGTTCTGGCTGACGTCAAAACCTGAGAATCTTTTTTTATTGAACCATACGAAACTGAAATTTTCAGGTGAGAGCAACACGAAGCTGAAGAAGTGTGAATTTTCTTTTTTACACGAAGAGCAGTAATTCAATACCTGGTAAGTGCTGTCAGGTGCCTACAATGAGGCATCAGTTTCTAATAGACCAAATTTAGAGAAAATTTCCTCACGGAAATTGAATGAACTTTACGCTAAAGAGCAACATGTATATTTTATCAATAACCTGATGACGCTCGCCAGGTTTTGAATTTCTACTCGTCATGTATGGTAGGCCAAGGTGATGTCACAAGTCTGTGTGGTATACTGCCGTGCATAGGAAGAACGCCGTATAAACATCCGAGAGTTGCCAAATTTCCTTGGATGTAAGGTTTATTTTTGAGGAAAGTTATGAACATTTTTCTTTGAGATTTTCTGGAGCGTTAGGCAAAGCTTAAATTGAGAACAAAATTATTTGAAAAATTGGAAGAAAATTATTCATACATTCACTAGGAAATTCGTGTTTTATCAAAGGAAATGTGGCAACGACTGAAGGTTCATACGGCGTTTTTCCATAGCACGGCAGTATAGGATCTACGGTTTGTAATTTGCGTTACACTGCACCGTTCCGCTTGAGAGCCTCTCCATTACAATCTACGAAAATACCCCATTCCGGTGTGATCCATCTTATTCTTTCAACTAGAGGGTATGCCTCCAAACCAGCTTCGCCCCCCCCCCCGCTCCCCACCCTCCAAGCGCTTTGCGCCTATGCGTTTAGCCCTCGATAGACAATCAAATTCCGAACCAATTCCGATCAAAGTAGACATGCTGATGCCTGATGGTCACCATCTACCATCAAATTTTGACGGGCCGCACTTATTTGATCAAAGTAAGATTAGAATGGAGTGCCACCATTCATCATTTTCTGCCATAGGAAACATTTCTGCTAAGTTTTCATTTATAAATGAAGCAAATTAATGAGTTTGAGACTGATGACTCCCGACACTTTGATGCTACTTTGATCGGAATTGGTTAGGGAATTTGATCGTCTATGCAGGACTTTTCGCGTCACGCGATACCTACCACTGTTAAGATTTTACATCGTAGATAAAATATTTAGGAGTGGCAATTAATCAAGCTCGAAATACAGGAGAAAATTGCAATTACTCATTCATACCTCTAGATTCTCAATTTTTTTAATCTGATTGAAGCTCAGATCTAATTTCGTCAAATTGACAAGGTTCTCTATATTCTCAATTTTTTGGATACTATTGTTGTTCAAGTAGAGCTCCGTTAAATTAGTAAGCATCCATAGACTGTCTATACATATGATACCTGCAAAAAGATGAATATCCAAAAGCAGTGAGCTACTAGATATGCGGTGATAGTGTGAGATTGAACAAGAAAAAAAAGCACTGAACGCCTCCGGGTCAAACAGCTAGACTGACCATAAGCATATTCTGCGGGCCAAAAAAAATACGTTTTTCTTCTTGGAAGATTTTTCCCAAGAGTGTTACAGGTTCAAGCTACAGTCTCTGAAGATATTCTAGAAAATCTTCGTTTTTCCTGAAATTTGGTGACGTTTGTGGGCCAAAACTCATAAAAAGAGCCACAATAATATTGTTTAGGCTGAATTTATTAATGACTCAAAAATCTCTGAATCACAAGAGAACGGGAAAATTCAGCGATTTTCAGGAGGTCTTCGATCTTTGGAGCAAGAAAGAAGGAGTTGCCACCATTAAAACGCTAATTCACTATAAACTTAAGCCATTCAAAAAAAATGTCTTTCATCATTTGTCGAGATTCTTGCAGGCTCGATGTTCTGAAAATAGCACCCTCACTGAGTGGAAAAACAAAAATCGCCCTAAAAAACCCAAAATCACGTGTAACCCCCACTTCAACTCACGATTTGGAGATTTTTCCATTTACAAATTCAATACTAATAATATTGGTGACCACTTATCATGACTATGAACGTTGCCGAAATTTATGAAAAGCGACGATGTCCCTGAAAATAAAACGGTACCGTAGCCCCCACCGGGAGGGGGGGGGGTCTTTGGAAAACCTAATTTCAGCCAATAGTCGCACGGCAAGGTGGACAAGTTGCCCTTTAGTTGCAGGGAAGCTCTGATGATAACGCCTTACACGTACAACTATTGCTACGCGAAAGCTGTCTGTGTTGCATACGAAAAAAATGAAGGCGCTTCCACTTTCCTTCTTTTCACAACATGAAGCAGTCACCTCTGAACTCCAAACGAAGAGTGTTGACGGCAGCAATACGATCGTGAATTCGTTTGCCTGCTCTCTCGTCGAATTTTCCTTCTACCTCCGATTTGAGGACAATATCTTGGATCGTCTCCACACTGATAACTGCTGTAGTTCCCGAACCTCCCAAGGCATCTTCTCCCGCACACGTCATGTTAATTCAAATCTGAATTCAAACGAAAACAAGGGCTGAGTTAAAACAAATTGTATAATATAACGATAACCAAAGTACCAAGGTACGAAACCACGTATCTCCATTCTGCCTTGCTACAGGAGAACGCCGTGTGAATATTCGAGGGTTGCCGAATTTCTATGGATGAGACCTGTATTTTTTAGGAAAATTATACGAATTTTAGATTAAATCGCGAAAAAAACTTGTATGAAATCTTTAAGAAAAAAATTCAACATGTTTCTGGTAGATTCATCTTTAAGAAAAAAATTCAACATGTTTCTGGTGGATTCAGTTTATATTGGAGGAAATATGGCAACGTCCGAAGGCTCATACGGCGTTCTTCCTTACAACGGCAGCATTGCGGTGTTTCCAAATTTCCACTCCTATTTTTTTTACGAAGGGTAAAAAGCCAACTTCAGGGCTTTAAAATTAAACAGAAGATTGACGAAGAAACTACTAGACGACGTATCTAGTTTGATGTGTTTAAAAATCCCTGTAGACATTTTATTTTTTTTTCTGAAAGGAACGACTCAATAAGTATCATTCCTTGAAGTTTACACAGAGTTTTCATCGCTTAGAGATGAAAAATCACGGAAGTTTTCAAGAATCAATGTTCATTACTTCTTCATTTAAAAAATAAAGTATGACAGGGAGCCTGCAACGTCACAAACCGAGACACGTGGTTTTGTAGTTTCGCTGTTGATATTATGCCATCGAAGATAAATCAAGGAAGTTTTTGAGAAATTTTGTCGACTAGTTTTCGAAAGTAAAAATATTATCTCTCCGAAGCAATTAGTTAGTGTTCCCAAGAAAAATATTTCCTCTTCGGAACGATAGGTTATTGCTGGGAAGAGAAAATATTTCTCTCTGGAGCATTCAGTTAGTGTTCCAGAGAAAAATATTTTCTCTCTGGAGTAAATAGTTAATATGTTCCGAAGAAAAATATTTTCTCTCTGGAGCAATTAGTTAGTTCCGTAGAAAAATATTTTCTCTTCGGAACGATAAGTTGTTGCTGAGAGGAGAAAATATTTCTCTCTGGAACAATAAGTTACCATTTGGGAGAGATTTTTTCCCCCCCCCCTGAGTAAGTGGTTTCTGCAAAAGAGAAACATGTTATCTTGCCTGAATAATTAGTTAGTGTTTAGGAACGAATATATTCTCCTCTAAAGCATCTACTCATTCCTCAAGGGAGAAAAAATTCCTTCCCTGAACACATTCTCAATCCTAGAGAGGGGCATTCTCTCACAGTGGTTTTGAAGCAAGAAAAGAATGCGACAAAAATGTACCCAAAAAAGATTTGCAGCAGGGGATGAATCTATGGTACGTGTTAACTCAAAATCTTGGCTGATCCTATTTCCGAGTTATCGGAATTTGAAATTCTGAGTTTCAATTTATTTGTCCGTTAAATTGGTGTCGACCGGTTCACGTTTTTATTTTTCGTCCAATTCATGTCGATCACACTCTCAACTGAACAATTCGCCTCCAGCTTTGTCCGCAGCAATTGTTAAGAATAAGTTGTGCGTGGCGATTTCAGTTCATTACATACTCGACTTACTGAAGGCGTTTATGTGCACAAGTAGCGCAATCTGTTGGAGAACGACCGAAAAGGGGGTTGAGCGATTCATTCCATCTCACTTCTGTTGTTCGCTAATAGGGTGCTCCTTTTTCGCACATAAAACGCCTTCAGAGAGTCAAGTATGTAATGAGCTGAGATCAGCACGCACATCATATGCGGAACAACAATTACTGCGGACACAGCGAATTAAAACCACCATATAATACACGTTGGAAAACATTTTGGTTCTTTAATTAATATTGTTACCAAATGAAAGTTGTATTTTAAGGTCTTTTTATGGGGGATTCTCGAAAAACTTTTCACGATTAACTAAGTTTAAATGCAAAATAAAACTGCAGGGACAGTTGCGGCAACATTTTGGGATCACAAGACACATTTTTGACATCCTAGATGCTTAAACAGTATAATATTATTTCAATGCACGTTTATGCCGCTAACTCCGCGGAGGTCCCGAAGGGGCCCCCGCGGCGAATTTTTTTCGAGTCATCGTTTTTTTCCTATAATGTTGTAATTTTCTTATACTTTTCAATCACTAAAAGGCCCCGAATTCCTTGAAAATTTGTTTCTAAGAGACATGGAAGGTCGCCAAAAGCATTTGTGATGAAGGGACCCCCAATGAATCTTGAGAATGGGTTATTTTGAAGTTCAAGTACTGTAGAATCCAACTCCAATAAGGCCTACGCGTTTAAAAAGTGAAATTTTCAAAATTTACCGGGAGAGGGCCCCCAGACGACAGGGGGGGGCCCTTACATTTAGGTCTCCTCCTAACTTTTCGACTACCAGTCCGCACCTGTGTGCCGCTACTGCAATTTTGACCGTTAAGGCAGTAGTTTAAGGGCGCTAAAGCCAGGATTGATTTTCGCAAACAGATAATTTTTGCAAAATAAATAAAAATTAAAAAGCAGGAGTAATTTAACTAAAAAATAAACGGAACTCAAATCTACAGTTTAATGCAAAAAAATTTGGAAAATCTCGTCATGAAAATACAGAAGATTCAAAAACGCCTTCAATTGAAGCGTGATACCTCACACGTTCCGGAGAGTTCAAATAGTTGTATCCCTGCGCCTTAGCAAGGCGATGGAAGTTTAATATTGAAGTAGCGTCCCCGCTTGGTTTTTCGGCTTTTCTTTGCCGAGGAAGTCTGCATGCAACGAGAGGGTATGTATTCGATCAACATGAATCGAAATTAAGATTTTTTTTTTTTTTTTTTTTTTTTTTTTAAGTTAGAGATGTATAAAAAAGAGTCTAAGTATTAATTAAGTTTACATTACAGATATATAGATATAGTTTACATTACAGATAGAAATTAAGATTGAAATTGAAACTATACAAGTTTCATTAGTTTTTGACTAGATAGGGTCAAAATAAATTTATATTTACTCACCTTTATAAAAATGCGACATATTCTGGCAAAGTATTGGTTTAAATAATTTAATAAAGGTTAGACACCATACTTTATGGTTTCCCAGCAAGCATACAGTTCACTTTGACACAGCGTAATGGAAAACCTCACTATAAATTTCTAAAAAAAGGGAGTTTCTTAATACCAACCCCACCACCGTAGGTACACAATATCAGCCCTCAATGATATTCTCGTCACCATAGCAACTAGATATAATAGACTGTGGCTGACTAACGATGCCAGCTTCGCTTCGCATCGGGAGTATTTACGGGAACAAAAATCAATTTTTCAAAAAAAGTTTTAATTTTCAAATGGAATTGCCGATGAAATTTCAAAGTTTTNTTTTTTTTTTTTTTTTTTTTTTTTTTTTTTTTTTTTTTTTTTTTTAAGTTAGAGATGTATAAAAAAGAGTCTAAGTATTAATTAAGTTTACATTACAGATATATAGATATAGTTTACATTACAGATAGAAATTAAGATTGAAATTGAAACTATACAAGTTTCATTAGTTTTTGACTAGATAGGGTCAAAATAAATTTATATTTACTCACCTTTATAAAAATGCGACATATTCTGGCAAAGTATTGGTTTAAATAATTTAATAAAGGTTAGACACCATACTTTATGGTTTCCCAGCAAGCATACAGTTCACTTTGACACAGCGTAATGGAAAACCTCACTATAAATTTCTAAAAAAAGGGAGTTTCTTAATACCAACCCCACCACCGTAGGTACACAATATCAGCCCTCAATGATATTCTCGTCACCATAGCAACTAGATATAATAGACTGTGGCTGACTAACGATGCCAGCTTCGCTTCGCATCGGGAGTATTTACGGGAACAAAAATCAATTTTTCAAAAAAAGTTTTAAGTTTCAAATGGAATTGCCGATGAAATTTCAAAGTTTTGATCGATCAAATCAATTTAAAAAAAAAAAAAAAAAAAAANAAAAAAAAAAAAAAAAAAAAAAAAAAAAAAAAAAAAAAAAAAAAAAAAAAAAAAAAAAAAAAAATATTTTCGATCGGAATTGTGCTGAAATTTCAAAGATTTATTTTCATGAAAAAATCGAACTCCCAATCAGTCGCTCACGTGTCCATCTCATGTCGCACAAAATTGGATTCCCCGCTTTTTCAAATTTGGCGGTTAAATTATCTTTCTACTCAACGTTGCCGCTCAACTGTTTTTTGGTGAGCGGCCGAATTTAAATTTGAGGTTAGATTAAACTTTTGGAAGTTCTCGCGGATTGCAAGTGGGCGTCGAAAGTTCCTTTAAATTTGCAATAATGGGCGAACTTTAATTTATTATCTTTCAAGTTTGCCATGATTTATTGAAGTTTTCTTTCCCGTTACACTCTATACATATTTTATCACCTTTCTGTGAATCTTCTTTTCGGAAAGAATGGAGGCGTATGACGTGATAGCAAACCAACCGGTCGTTATCGATAACGTAAGTTTTCTTTCACGTTCTCCTAGCTAGTTCAATTTTTTAACACTGAAAATTTTCATGTATTTCGCGAAATCAGGGAAGGTTTCTTCCACTTATTGCCCCCAAAGTCCGAGATGAAAGTGGATGAACTCATAACCGATGTTGTGATCAACTGTGATAACACTACCTATGAAAATATTGAAATCTACATGCTTTTTAACTTCGTCTATTTACTCCGTCTCCCTATTTTTCTGCACTATTGGTTCGGCTACCTTGCAGAAAAATTGTCCACTTTCTGGGATTTGGTAGCACTGAGAGAATTTCATAATTAGTCACTGCGTAGATACCTACTCAGTAAGCTTTCATCGTTCATTTAGATAGAACTCAGAATTTGCGAAAGTTCTGGTCATCTCCATATTATGCAAGCCTTATTAGTAAAATCTAATAGGGAGCTTCCTTGCCGCGCTTGTTAGAGATTGGATTCCTCCCAACTACATGATGCTCAAAATCTACTCTACTTTAAACAATAAAACTGTGAACAGAAGCCCTAAGTAGCATGTGTTCAGTACGTTGAGAAATAAGTCAAGTCCACTCTGATACCACTTATCAGGACTGTTTTATGAATTTATGACTCAAATTATGAAGTGTTGCTGATTTTAGAGTAATCAAAAGAAACTAGATTTCATAAATTTACAATGTAAGAGACTTCTCGAGACCCATTTTTCAGGAAGGAAAATATAGTTAACTAGGGGGCTATGCCCCCTGGCCGCTACGCGGCCCAACCCCCTAAAGGCGCTCCGCGCCATCAATGGGCCGCGAAGCGGCCCTATATTTATCCTCCTATCAGTGTTAGTTTTATTTTTCCCCTAAAAAATTACGATATGAGGTATACTTTAATTTTAAATTTTACTTAAAATTACTTCAAAATCAAAAAGACGCGTTTTGGAATGACTGCTTGATGAAATATTGCAGTAAAACAGTGAATAATGATATCCAGGCGGTAATGAAGACATCATAAGTCGGGGATCGAACCCACACCGAGTTTTAGAAGAACGCATTCGACATCTTAAACAACTCGGCCACCGTTCGAGACGAAGTTTCCGGTGCGAATCTTGTGTAGATAAGTGTAGTTGTAGTGCTGATGCGCAGGCTACACAGCTACTGCGCAACCTCCTCGACCACTGCGCATCCTCCCGCGCATAGCGGTAGCAGTGTCGGAGCATTCTGTAAACTCACTCACTTTTATAACGTGATTTTAAAAAAAACCTGGGTCCTTTTTCCAAAATCTGATTACAGCGGGCTCATCTAGGGCCTATTACCTGTCGATTTACGCAAAAATCATGGAAATCGGCCCGGTAGAACGTTCAAACGAACTATGACAAAAAGTATAAATTTACATTGTTTAAATGGGAGAATTCGCAACTTTACCACGTAATATAAAAAAACCTGGGCCATATTTTGAAAATCTGAAAAGAGTTGGCTTATCTAGAGACAATTGCCCGTCGATAGCCGCAAAAATCATGAAAATCGGCCCGGTAGAA